TGTCACTCTACATCAGTCAAATTCCTTTTTGTTTGGGGGCTTCAGTCTCTGCCGCTAACACCCATTTTGCTCTTCAACTTGAGGTTGACGCCGAACCTTGACTTCTGAAATTTGTGTACAATCAGATGTCCATATTTAGTATATATCATTTGGTCTGCATATTTTGTTGTGAACTTCATCTGAAGGTAACTGTTTTGCTATGATGGAATGTGTTTTGCAGGCCAAGATGGTGATAAATTGAGTTTAATAAAGCTGGCCAGTTTAATCGAAGTTTCTGCCAAGAAAGGTACTCGTGATCTCAGCCTTCAGAACAAGTTGATGGACCAAGTTGATTGGCTCCCCGATTCGTTGGGGAAGCTATCGAATTTGATCTCCTTAGATTTATCTGAGAATCGGATTATGGCCCTACCTTCTACAATTGGAGGCCTTTCATCTTTAACTAGATTGGATTTGCATTCTAACAGGATCACTGAGCTCCCAGATTCTATTGGAGATCTCCTTAGTTTGCTCTATCTTGATGTGAGAGGAAACCAGTTATCATCTCTGCCTGCTTCTTTTGGCAGATTAATACGTCTCCGGGAACTTGATTTGAGCTCAAATCAACTTTCTGCTCTTCCTGACTCTATAGCGTCACTTATTAACTTAAAAAAATTGAATGCAGAGACAAATGATCTTGAAGAACTTCCACATTCTATCGGTCAGTGTTCTTCTCTTACAGAGCTTCGTGTTGATTATAATCGGCTAAAAGCCCTACCAGAAGCTGTAGGTAAAATTCAGAGCCTTGAGATTCTGTCTGTGCGGTACAATAACATTAAACAACTACCTACAACAATGTCATCTCTGACAAACCTGAAGGAACTTGACGTCAGTTTCAATGAGCTTGAGTCAGTGCCTGAGAGCTTATGTTTTGCAACCTCTCTGGTCAAGATAAACATAGGAAACAATTTTGCTGACTTGCGATCCATACCAAGATCTATTGGGAACCTTGAGATGCTTGAGGAATTGGATATCAGCAATAATCAAATACGTGTGCTCCCTGACTCATTTAAGATGCTCACTAAACTACGTGTCCTACGAGTTGAGGAGAATCCTCTTGAAGTGCCACCAAGACATATAGCTGAAATGGGAGCACGGGTAATATTCTGTCTCTCGTGTATTTATTTTGATGCCAATGAGGACCTTTCATTAGTCTAGATATAATTCCATGTCTTGCTGAATCTCAGGCTGTTGTCCAGTTCATGGCCGAGCTTGTGGAGAAAAGGGAAAAGAGGGACGTTAAGTCACAGTCACTAAAGCAAAAGAAGAGCTGGGCTCAGATTTGCTTCTTTTCTAAATCTAACAAAAGAAAGCGTAATGGCATTGGTTATTTGGAAAGCTGATCTGGTTACTGCATTGTTGAAAGCTGCCAAGTCTAGGAGTAAGCTGAGTTTTTTCTTGTTCGGTACTTGAACTTTAAAACTGGAGTTGGCTTGTAAGAGTAAAAGCTAAGTGTAGCCACTCCACCTGTAGGTCTGTGTCCTAATTGACATAGGTTCACCACTTGTGACATGGCTGGTTGGGTTGAGGGAATGGTAGCAAAGAGCGGATGCATGATTTGAGAGAAGAGTTACTGTTGTAGATTGGTGAGGCTACCTTGTCCTGTTGGCTGCTGATGTTGTGCGTTTTCCATGTTTGACAGGATCATGACTGCGTTGAAGCTCGACAATATGGTGCCGCATTTCTCAATTGAGATGGCTGTAAAATTTTACTTTGACTTTCACAGAGCAAACTGTAGATTTCCATCCGCCCCCCCTCTGGTCAATGTACAATTTGATTTTTTTACGTTTCTTTGTCCGTGTCCGTTGTCTAGAATCCGTTGTCTAGAAAGCGAGAAGAAGTGTACACTCCAGCAAGCGATGTAGAAACGGGTGGCAGGGAAGAATCGAGGATCAGCTATTTATGTTCAACTCAAATCGATGTTAAATAAAACCATCCTTTCTACCACTTTGTAGAGAATTTTCTTTTGGTGTGATATGGTGCTTTTGCTTATTTTTGATGTTGCTAAAGTTGGTGTACCATGGAACTTTGCCGAAACTTCTTTGTTGAGAGGTTAAATGTGTTTGGCTATTGGGAAGATTAGCTATGATTGCTGCATACTATGGCATCAAGGCCAGTGAATTGCGCTATTAGCATCGTTGATTGATATTGCAGGTCAGCCTTGAGGTTCTTTTTTCATGGCAGCTGCGTAATTCCTTCAAGGTCTGGTAAGGAAATGGAAATTTTTTGGTTTTTAGTTTGTGATGCATCAAAAGGATCCTTCTGCACAGCTAAGCGGATAACGAAGGTAATACCTAGGAAATAGGATCAACGTGTTCCTGGCTTTTATGTGAGTTGCAGGGGTGCTGGCGTGTTCATTTTAGGAGAGGAACATGATTATGAGTTTTTTTTTTTTTGGGGGGGGGGGGGATCTCGCGTCTCTTTTAATAATGTTTGAAATTGATTTTTAAGATATTCCTACTACTAATGTTTAATACAATTTAGTTAAGTGCATCGTTAAACGCATATATGTGTCCTCATCCAAAGGACAGTTGACATCTTCTATTAAAGACTGCATCCATAAATGGAAGGATTTGCTTGTATTTAAAACAAAAGTTTTGGTGGTCAATGCTTTTATACAAGAGCGAGTATTAAAGATCGGCGCAAGTTAATCGGTTAAGATGTTGATTTGCAATTTAATGGTTAAATTGCAGTGAATCTGGTTACAATTAAATTAATAAATTTTAATCACTACCCTAATTTTAATGTTGTTTACCGCCTAGAAGATTTTTTCATTTCGATCCTAGTTGGAAATTATTTAACTATGTTTACACATTAATTATTTTACTTCCTCAATGGGTATTGAGTCGGTTGTTTTATTTCATGAGCTAATCATGGGAAGGTCAGACCTGAAAATACTCCGATTTAATCCAATCAGATGATCGTGTGTAAAAAACCCAAAAAAGTTGACATGTATGCCTCATCCTTATAAATATGTTAAGTGCTTGGAATTCAATGGATTTAATAAAAGTAATGTTAAAGCTTAAAAGTTATTAGAATTTTTTTAACCTTTGACCCTTTTTACTTTTTAAAAGGTGGTAAAAAGTGAGCCATATTAAGAATTATATGGAGTATATAGAGAATTATAAGAATAGGAAAAATATAACAAAAATATATAAAAATCGACCTTAAATAAACAACAGCAATGAAATTAATTAAAAAAAAATACAGCAAGTAAAGATAAGAAGTAAAAATGTAGTTTTAAAAATTTATATATTTTATATTTTAAAAAATAATAATTCAAAATTTAAGTATATATATTATAATTTGAATCTTATGATATACACACACATATGTCTCGCCCCTTGTGCCATAAGTTTCCCATTTTTAGCACTTGAATAAGAAGGGGGAAAAAAAAAGAAGAGAACAAAATCGACTGATTCTATACCAGTTTTGTCCATGGTTTAGGGCGAGTAATTTATTCTCCTAATTCCCCCTTAATTTTACCCAGCCGAGGCATAAGTTTACCAGTTGTCTACGTTGATTAACTATACTATTTGACCAAAACCGTGTTATTTATTTTAAAAAGGGATTTTTAAGCAAATAATCTATCAAATCTATGAGAGATGGGAAGTTAATTATATGCACAAGCACATTAGTATATCAAGTTGAGTTCCTAATGAAAAATGTGTGCTACGGTCTTAAACTGTCAAAATCGATACAAGAAGGGGGCAACCAATTGAACCTATCATATAACTTTTTACCTTTTTAAATTTTTACTTTGTTTCTCATGTTTATTTATTTTTTAAGGTAGTCTTTGTAGTAATAGTAGTGGTAACTAATACACTTAATTAGTAAGAATATTTAACTAATTTAACTAATTTATTACAAATAACTAGTTAACTAATTTACTTAATCCATTCAAATTAGTTAACTAACTCTTATATTAAAAATCGAAGGTAATAATTAACAATAATGAATAGGAAGCCTTTTGCTCGTGCAATTGCAAAAGGGTAAAACACGGGGACGCAGCTGAGGTTTGAGTCGTTACCTACCTACCTGTATCCACCATATTGGGTAACTGTCATATTAGTATACAATTAGTAATTATCTAATCAAATATCGGCCCCACATAGATAATAACAATTCCTTAATCATTGCCCGATCCCCTATTTTCAGAAGAGCTTTTTATGCTGGCTAGCTATTGGCTTTCCAGCCTCGCCACGCAACTGGAGTTTCAGTATTATACACACTTGTGCATTCTCCTTTCTTCCTCTTCTGCGAAGCAAGAGCATCTCCCTCCCCCAGTATAGTTAATAATTCCATCTTCTGGTAACGTGAATTGAATACACCAACACACGGATATACATTATCTGATAGTAACTCCAGTCCTAATTATAAAACCTCCTTTATAAACTACAAATGAGATCTTATAGTTAGAATCAGATTAGTTACACACATTCTAAAATAATTTTAATTACTTTTTCATTGCTTTTAGTATCCCGAGTATGAGAGTTTATGCCAGTCGGATTAGATATTTATAAAATCATAATTCACACAAATACGCTTAGTTTGTATTGTTTTTTTTCATTTCACTTAATTTTTAATTTAGCCATTGTAGTTTAAAATCTTGTAATTAAATATTTATGATTTACTTAGTGCTCAAAAAAAAAATTTATGATTTACTTATTTACAAAATTTTCGGTTAAGCACATATTGTTAAAACTGTCAGTAATTCTTACACATCGCATATGATCTAGAAAATCAGACGCATTGTTCATAACTTACAAATAATGCAACTTGTGAAGTTTTTTTTTTTTTTTTTTTAAAAACATGATATCTAACTAGATTCACTGTAAACATGGAAGGACGATATTTACTGGATTCTCCAAAGGCAAGGGGCAAATTAATATTCTGAAGATATTTGAAGAACCCCAAAACAATTTTCTTAAAAAAACAAAAAACATTGGACATGACAGCTAAAATGGGGCAATAAAAGATGTATAATTAATGAAGATGTAGGATGAAGCAAAAGTGGGGAGGGACGCATGAGATCTTGTGACATGTGAAGATGAAGATGACATTTGATGAGCAGAGTTGGGGGATAAGGAACCAGTCACGTTGGAAGGGCTTCAATTTGTGGGCATCCCTCCTTCTGGGGCTGTGTCTGGCACCACGCCCTTCATTCATAAATGATGGGGCCAAGGCCAACCCTTTCACAGCCACCAGAATCAGCCTCTCGTGACGCCTCCCTTCCTTTCACCCTCAATAATTCATCTAAATGCCGCCACACATATCTATCAATAATTCATTATTTTTAGTTCCTTCTCTCAGTTGTAGTTTGAGAGTCGGTTCTGGAACTATGGAGAGCATTACCCGACCATGACACCATGCAGATAATGAAGACAATTGTGCTACTCATACCAACTAGCGTCCTAGGCACCAGGAAAACCAAAATATAATTAAAAACCATCTCCTTATCAGATCAAGAGCCTGCACAAACAGTTTCTTTAAACATGCCATAAATGCCAGGGGAACAGAAAAACTGGCACCTCGAGCACTGCTGCTGAAGCTTCCCATTACATTCTTCCGCTACAAATTTATAGGATATGCAGAAATGATAGCTCTTGAACTGCAAATGTGGGACGCATACTACTATGCCCTCCCCATTCTTGTCCAAGGTAATTTAAATACCTTCAAATATAGTCTGTTACAATGACGAATCCAAGAAGGCTTGGATGATGATGGACAAAATAATCTTGTATACTCTATAAATTGACTAGCAATCAGGCGCGGTCAACAGAAAGAGGCGACTAGGTCATTCCCTTTACGGGAACCTAGCCCACCTCGTTTCTTCCCGAGTCAGTCACAACTTCACCACTAGTTGGCCTGCAAGGTTTCATTACAAAATCATGTCACCAACAAGGATTAGGCCTCATTAATAATATGACTTGTCAAATAGAACAAAAGGCAAAACACAATGGGGTAGGGCCAACCAAAAAATACAGAAAATCTCAGAAATTCTGCATTGTTTTGAAACATAGTACAATGCACCTGGAACTCACCGAATGTCATTTTTTGCACCGGCTAGTAGCCAGTGCAGAAGTTTAGAAGCATGCCAATAATTTTAACCCCATCCCCAGTTTTAAATAACAATTTGTTAACTATATTTAAACATACTTAAATGGCTCAAGCACACACAACAGCTACCTGTGCAATTTACCCCTCAATCATAAATACCCGACTATCAGGCCCTAGTTTAAAAAATTGATGTGAATTTATTTTGGCCAATAAAAATTCATGTAATTCAACTCTTCTCTTTGCACCCTTGACCAAGAGTCTAATGGAACCGAGCTGAATATCTGCTTTCTTAACAAATCCAAACTAATCCAAGCTTTGAGGAAATAAGGTTCAGACAATTTTGTGTGCTCTCAGTACTTGTGCATTAAAAAGGGAGGAAAATGAGGGTTCAATCTTTTTTAATTTTTTTTAAAGAGGTATTTTCCTCTGTTGGCCATCCAGAGAGAACATGGCACGATATAATCCAAGTGGCATGGATTTGTGAATTTATAGGATTGGTAGTCTTACAATTGAGAGGGTAAATTGCACCAGCCCAAATTGACAGAGGTTTAAAACATTTTTGCCTGTTTAAAATATTAGGGTTATTCCTACTGCATGATGGAATTTTAACATGCTTTCACAGAATCAAAGCTTTACATTTTCCTGTATGCTCATTGGTTATGTAATACTCATCCACACATTTGATGGTTAAAAATTGTGACACATTATCTCAATGATCATAGCCCATGGTAGCAATTTAGTTGTGTATTCTTAAATCTTAGCCATTTGACAGATATCACAGCTTATGGTTAAGAAAATGTTTCCCCCGCTTGACCTACTCTGCCTATATTCACTTCAACCACTCAAGGAAAAACAAATATCTTAGAACGTTCTTTTTTATGCTTCTTGCCTTGAATTTTGACATTTCAAGCATACAATTTTATACTTGTCCACCTGCTCTTCCATAAATAAACACTTCAATTAATTTAACATAAAATTGATAAATAGCAATGAGAGTTTAGAGAAGTTAAGCTCCCCTCTTACCCCCTCCAAGAAAAAAAGGGAAAAGAAAAGAAAAGAAAACTCCTTTCTGTCTTGAGCAAAGCCGTATTCCAAGGAGTCAATTCCTTTACTCAAAGACACGGCCCAAAGGAAAAATAGAACTTCTGTATAAAATAGATGCAAATCATACAATGTCTGATACATGAATTGGCAAGAACTAGACTAATTTATTCAAAATCAGTGAACCAGTGTCACAATGTTAGGATCACTTTTGGAGACTTAGGAAAATACATGAAAAGGGAAAGATGCTTTTGTTGGTCAGAACTTTGACTCGGCGATTCCTACTATTTCGGGGAAAGAAATAGGGAAGTAGGGCAGCTATAGGGTTACTGTAGTCAAAGTCTGTGAGAGGGATAAGTAGAGGACTGTGAGAGTCACTTTTTGGGGTCAATAAATCTTCCCTTTTGTTCAATAGGAGGGGGGAGGAAGAACGTTAAGTCAGGATTAGGCATCGGAGTGGAGAGAGCCAATCCTCTCGAATGATTGGCAGACCTGTTATGTTCTTTATCTAGAATTTCTGTTATGTTGAGACTGTAGTGTCTGTGAGAGTTGCATCTTTTCTCCTTGTTATACCATGTTAGAATCTGAAAGGTAGCCTTTTCCTTCCTTCTCAGTTTCATTTGTAAGTAGGACTTGTGTAATGTTCTTGTAGCAATGTAGTGCATTGCATCTACGTAATCTGTATTAGCTTAAATTTCCATCAGTGTGTGCAAATCTGTTCTTTATATAGCTGAAGGTGTTTTAACCTAGAAGTATTCGCGGAGGGTCATAACACATAACTTCATTCCTAATCCCCTTCCATGAGGTACCGTTGTTTTCCTCTTTGAAAACACAAATTCACATATTATTCAACCTCATTCCTAATCCCCTCCCCTGAGGCAGCCACTATACTGGATCAAACAGAGGAAAATGATAGTTTGTGCCCCAAGATTTTTTTAATCATTCAGGCCTCTCATGCTTTGATTATATTTGAATAAAGAATCCTTATCTGAAACCCAGAATTTGTGAACTGAAATTGTTCTAGGTAGTACGGACCAATTTTCTCTTTTATCGAATTGTACATTTGTTTTCTTAAAAATGCACCTTCAACATCAAATTATCAACCAGCTGTGTCTTTTTCTGATTGCTCACATTCTTCTTTCCTACACACACACACACACACACACACAAAACAACTAGAGGGTAAAATAACATCCCAACAGATATAATGGGAAGGGGCACATTTGACTTTAAGATAAACAAAAGTCTCTAAATAACATGTCATGAAAAATAGTTTGAGGGTAATGCACTTACAGTCCACCTATAACTTTAATTGTGTCATAAAACAACCATTGCATAGTTATAGAAGGGCCAACCAGAAGGATTCTAATAGGAAGGCTCCTCGTAAATAGATTGGTTAGACCAATTTTCCTGATAGCCTGTTCATAAGAAGAATAAATCATTCCATCAAACTTCCAAAATCTTTCCAATATTCAAATAAGTATCATCAAAGCCAAACGTAAAGAAATAGATACCAGCATAAGACTATCAGCCTTTCTGTTATAAAGAGAAGCTACAATATTGTCTGCAGGGTTCGAAATCAAGCTACCAACAGACCCAGCAGCATATCCAGCTAAACACGTCACCCCAAGTTGTTGAGTTATTGAGCAATCTTCCTTTCTTTTCTTAACAACTTTGCGATACAATAAATCAACAGAATGCTCGAATGTTGAGAACATAACCACAGAAACTGCCCAAAAAATCAACACAATAATTAATAGCCAGTTCATTGATGAACAACCATGAATATTTTAATTCACTATCAGTGGACTATCCATTCCATCGTCATGCTAATCTAAAGAACAACAAAAAGTTGATTATTATAAGAACACAGTCCAGTGTACTTTGATTACTCAGCACCCTCAAACCCAAAAAAAGAAAAGTCCACTGCCAATCAGCAGGCGAATAAAACAAAAGACCTGATCAGTCAGAAACGGATACTCTAATCTGGCCATAAATGTGTATTAATATAGCAACTCACAAATACCAATAGGTAAGTTAGTATGTGCACATATTGATTATCACTTCAATGCATGGAGGAGGGTATATTATCCATGCATTTATAAATATAGACCACGACCAGTGTAGGCATCAAATCGCCATAACGATGACATGTGGTCGCTGGTTGGTAAATTCCAAGTTATTACTCTGGCAAGTGGATGCATAATAATGCTGACATACCGTAAAACGCTAGACCTAGAAAAAAAAAAAAGAAATTTTGTTTGATTGCATTAAATGTCATTTCAAGAGATGTGAAATTACACGGAAGGTTTCGGCCCCAAAGTGGAATAAGCCCACGGTAGAATCTGCAAGCAGAAGTTAAACAATCATCCCCTAGAAACAGATGCAGACCAAGTATAAAACAATTGCATTAAGTATTTACCCTTGTGTGCCTTCTGATGCATACAACTTTGGAAAGCCATCAAACAGCCCCTTAGCGAAACAGGGCTGTGCCTGCACTCTCACTTTGACAGCTTCAAATGGGCATAGAGCGATATTGGCAAATACTTCAGCAGACGCGCTACTAACAAAGTAAATCACACTCCTATTACAGTCTCCCATTATATTGGAATAAAGTCCCTTGAAATATTCATACAGACCAAATCTGCAACCCCCCTGAGCCCCATATCCAAAGAACTTGCCGCCCCAACCTCTCCAGAGGGCAGAAGGCCCTTGTTCTCTTAATATGGTAGTAAAGCACGAGGAAATGCTGTAATATTTAATTGGGTGCACCTGCATGTGAAAAAAATCTCCCATGAGAAATGATCTAAGCAACAATGAAACTCTGGTACAAGTTTCTAAAAATTAAAGTGCAATTCAAGAACCAACTCAGATGAAGTAAACTAGCATTACAGATTAAAGAGATGCAGGCCTGAAAAGTGAGAACACTAACACAGAAATGGTCAAGACAACAACCATGGTGAGTGGAAACTAGGAAAAACAACTTCTGATGCAAGTTTTCCAGCATTTCAAAAGCAATGCAGTAACCCAATAAAATAGCTTTATGAGCTAGATGAAAGGAAAACAGAGCTAAGAAGGCAAACAAAACCTGCATATTGACTTTTAGGACGTCAAAAGGAGTGATGGCGAGATGGGTAGTGCCGGCACTGAGCATTCCTCCAATGGCGCAGAGCCCGTAATACCTAGGCGTGCCCTCGATGGTGGAATCCATGGACAGACAGAAAGCTAACTTTGGACCTTTTCCTCGAGTGAAAAACCCGACGTCACCTCTGCTCTACTCTTCCGTCCGAGTCAAGTGCCCTTTGAAGAAAAGAAAGCAACTTTGTGCATTTGCGTGGTAAGGAACATGAAGCTGCTGGGCGGCAGGGGAGGGAGGAATCGGAACCTTGTTCTGCGATGTGGAATCAGCATGACCAAGCATGATTCGAGTTCACGGTTAGGCCGCGCGTTCTTCGGGCCCTTCGAAAAGACGAGTCGGGTCACCCAAACTGAAGTGAAATAAATGGGTATCTTATTTATAAATACAATAATAGTTGTTGTTATAAAATTATAATGACAATAAAACTAATTTAATTCATTTATAAATTGATATATAATCTAATAATACTTATAAGTATTATAAGAATATCATGTAATATATGTTATAATTAAGTCTTGAGTAATTTAATAATATTCTTAATATTTCTAAATTAATCGGGTAGATCTTATATCAAGAATAAGAGGTAATATTATATATTTATTACTATCTAGGGAGTGAAAAATTATGCCACTCCTCCTGAACCTACCAGTTATATCTTATATTAAAGGTACTCACCAACTATATCTTATATTATATTAGATCCTTCATGAAAGAACTGTTAATTAATTTGAGTGGATTACAAAATTTGTTAAACTAGTTATTTATAATAATCTGGTGTTGTCTTTCTTAAAATGTCCTTACTAATCATGTATATTAGTTAGAATTATCATTTAATAAAACTTTTAATACATGTAATTACTATAAAGACTACTTTGAAAAATTAGATAAATATAAGAGATAAAATGGATTGAAATTTTATATTTATGATTAAATTAAATATCAAACTAACATATGTATTAAAAGACAAGAGCTAGTATCAAAGAGTAGAGATAATAAGGCCTTATTTTTTCTTCCCCCATATATTCTTCCATAAGAGATAATCATGTGAGGCATAATTGGACATCAAATATAAATGCCCTGCCCAGTAAGAAGGCCCCCATTTTTTCCTTTGAACATGTAAATGTAGAAATTTAATTTTATATTATACTACTTACTGTTCTTAATATAAGATCTTATTTGACTTTTATTTTGATCATCAATATAAAATGTCAATCCACTTTGTCTCTCACATTTATATATTTTTTTAAGGTAATCCTTCTAATAATAGTAGTTCTAACTAATACACTTGATTAGTAGGGATGTTTTAGGAAAAACAATACCTATTTATTACAAATAACTAACTTAACTTATTTTCTTAATCTCCTCAAATTAGTCAACTAACTCTTATATTGAAGACATGAGGTAGTATTATTTTAAGCATTTATTATTTAAAGTACACTGATTTGCTTGCGGCCTGTTATCTTACATCTTTTATTTTTAAGTGATAAAAATAAAAATTAATTACTTGCAAAAATAAATACATTAAACTATAAAATTTTAAAACCTATGAACTAAACACTGAGATAAATGACACAGAGTATTAGGATTGAGCGGTGTTGAGAAGTAAATAGGGCACGCGGTTTTTTTTTTCTTTTTTTCTGGGGAAATTAATACTTTTAATCAGGATAAAGCAAAAAAGAAGCCGAAATTTTCAGAGTAAAGCTCAGTAAAAGAATAGATAGGGCGAAGAAGAGGAGTCAACATAGATGGAGTTAGAAGGATGGTCAAGACAGGAGCGAAAGGGTATATATCTATATTTACTAGTTTTCACGTAAACTATTTAAAAGGAATTTATTGTTTTGACTAGAAACTTGATCACTAACATTAAACAGCTTATAACTTAAAACAAAAAAAAAGCGGGAGCAAAAACCAAAAGCAACGACGCGGAAAGTTCTCCCAAACAGTGAAAGGATGAGTGAGCGAAAAGGTGTGCAGCCAAGTGATTCCTTCGATCATGGAGCCCCCTTGCTGTGTTGATACTAGAGTATAAAGGATGGGTGGATAAGGAGTAACATGTGATAGATTATGTGACACTGAAGGGGGAATGGAATATGCAAAAACTCAACTATTGGTTTTCTTACCATGTTACGAACCAAATCACTTATGCATACCTATATCATGAGAAGAGAGGAGAGGATAAATACTTTTAATGGCTGTTAACTGATAGTTGCTTTATTGTTAAATTTGTCTACAATTTTCTTCTTGCAGGTCACTAAAGACAGGACGACAACATCTAGAAGCTTTTTTGAAGATGGCCAGTACCAGAATGCCCTTTTGGATGTGATGAGGAGGAAGACTCTACGCACTTGATGAGGAATTGTGCCAACACTATCCAAAGGTGGAAGTCAGTGGTCGATCCGCAACTATGGTCTACTTTCACTACTCTACAGGGGTCAGAATGGGTTAAATAGAATCTAACTATGGAGGCAAGTTATATTTACACAAAAAATATCCAATGGTCGATTCTCTTTGGTTATATATGCTGGAATGTTTGGGTTTCTCGATGTAACAAGCTTTTTGATTCTAGAGTAGCTGGTAATGTGATTAGTGCACATGATAGCTTATTCTATACTTGTTGGGATAGAGATTTAATGACCAACTATAAGTTCTACTTTGCCGCTCACTATGTAAAAAGACTGTACCCATTGTTTCCAGGAGGACTTTATCAAATTGGAAGTGGATGAATCAGTCTTACAAGATGGTAGAGACGGTTGTAGTGGTGCTGCTTGGAACAATCATGGCCAGTGGATTGGGGGATTTAGCTGTAAGATTGTATATGAATCGCTAGCTGTTGCAGAGCTTCTTGGCATGATTCATGGGCTGCAACTTTGTTGGAGCAGAGGCTATATGAAGATAGTGATTTACACTAATTGTGTAGAAGCCATGTCTTTGTTTTGTAGAGGCTGTGATGAGAATTACCCGTTTAAAGACATAGCTGACAATGCTAGACTTTTATTCCTTAGACATTGGACTGTTATTTTGGTACATACCACCGGGAAACAAATTTCTACTACTAATCAGTTAGCTAAACTCTCTCATTCCATGAAGAGTAACTTTTGTATATTAGATCAACCATCTTCTATGAGGGAAGGGGTTTGAGAAAGGAAACTAGGACTTCTTGACGTTTGGTACAATGTATTGACTTTTAGTACTGATTAAAAAAAAAAAAAAGAAGCAATGACACGAGAAACAAAAACAAACAGAAAAGGGAAACAGGAGGGAACATTTAGCCTCCATCATCACTTTCCATCTAAAAGGAATTTAGACTGGACATTGGTGAGCCCTCTTGAAACTTAACTCAGTCCACGTCTTGAAGGATCCTTTATGTTATGAAAAGAATTGTATAGAACAAAACTCCCTTATAGCCATACTAAATAGAGGGAGAGGAGAGCTAAAATTTGCTTAGCTCACCTATCAAACTCATATAAAGTTTGCATTTACGATGGGCCAAAAAAGAAGTTTGTGTGTGTTTCTGAATTTTAGAAACAAATTCTATCCTTTACATCACAAACAAAACTACGAATCACATTACTGCCATCAAAAACTTTCTCACATTTCCAAATCATTTTAAAAAAGTACTATCATTGCAGATATTGGGTGTCTACCGTTGCAATTAAACATCACAAACAAGAATAGCCATGTGAAAATATATTCAAAATAATGTAACAAGAGGAAGAACTAAGGGTGTGTTTGGTTGGAGGGAATGATGGGGGAAGGGAGAGAAAATAAGCCCATCTCCTCATTTGGTTAGAAATTTTGAAAGGGAAGGAAACTAAAATTTCCTGTCTCTCCCCTGCCCCATTTTGGCTTCCCCTAAGTTTTTTAGAGGAGAGCCAAATTGTTAGATCATTTTGCCATTATGTTTTTTGTGATATTTTATTAATACCTATAAAATATATTATTATAAGATTTATTTTAAATAAAAATTTATTATCATCAAAAAATAAAAAATAAATATTATTATAATTAAAAATATATTATAATAAAAATTATTTTAAAATAAAAATATTATTGCAATGAAAAATTATATTATTAAAAAATAAATTAATTTTTGTAAATATATTATGTTATTAATTAAAATATATTTTAAATTTGGGAAAACAAAATAATAGAAAAAGAACAAAAATTTCATTTTTTTGGAGCATATAAAATTTATTAACTTGATTATTTAAATTATATTATTATATTTATTAAAATTAAAAAAATTACTTTGCTACTTTTTAAATACACATATTAATATGATAAGACTGAATATTTATTGAATTACATAATTTGAAATAAGATATAAATGAATTTATATAATACATAAATAAAAATATAAACTAATATGTAAAGGTAAAATAGTAAATTAATTATTACTATCCCTTCCTTCCCTCCCTTAAATCAAAGAAGGGAGCATTAAATATCCCTTCCTCTCTCTTTTTTTTTTTTTGATTAAACCAAATAAGGCAAGATTAAACCCTCCCCACCTTTTCTTACCGCACCCTTCTCTCCCCTCAAACCAAACAGGCCTCAAACCAAACAGGCCCAAAGGGAGAAACAGAGAGAGGGAAAGAATCAAATCACTCGCGTGCCCTTCTGCATAATGGAATGGGCCTGCTGTGCCCATCGAATGAAGACGTGTTCGGGCTTGCTTCTCATCAACTAGCCCTCTTCTTTTCAATGGGCTTTGGCCCGGAGGGGTGGGGGAAACCCAACGCAACCAGATTACTTTAGAAAATACAAAGAAGGTAAAGACAAAGGAGAAATGATGAGATCGTATATTATTTACGATAAAAAAAAAGGAGATTCAGAAACGACAAGCATGGCGTGTCATATGACTGGAGAGACAATAATATTTCCTCTAATTTGTATTGCGCGAGTTTTACAAAACCAACCTGGCTTGACAATTGTCCCGCAAGTTGTGCGTGTCGTACAGGGGATGTGAACCACGTGCCCGCGCAAGATTGCTGCTACCTGAGCGGTCAATGCCATTGAAATTTCAGCAAACTTATTTTGTGAATCGTCAGGAGTTATTGATTAACGGCACACTATGTTCACAATTTCTAAATACGGGCGCCCGCCCAAACTGTATCCAATGAATTTGGGGAGCGAATCACATCTAGATATTAATACCCTTCCGTAGCTGTTTGTTGGCGTTCATCCCTGTTGTTTTAGTCAGGGGACTGGGGCAAGGCAGGGGTGCCACTTGCCTTAAAATATGCCGTCGCCAATTTAGCGTGGGATCCTAAACTTATTAAAACA